CACAGAGGAAGAGTCAGAATTAGTTCTGGGAAGAGTGGAAACATTCTGAGAACAGAAGGAGTTGGCTGGGGAGGGGGTCTTGGTAGGCACGGCTAGTCCCATCGGATCACGAGGCTCAGGTTAAAAACTTTGAAGCCTGTTCTGTAGCATTTTCTGCAGGGGACGTGATTCACTTTGCTTGTTAAAAATACGAGCTGTTGATTGGGAGGCAGGTGATCACTTAGGAGGCTTCTGCAGAGTCCAAGAGAGAGGAGATGGTGGCTGGGACCAGGGCGGCGGTCGTGGGGATGGAGAGAAGTGGACAGACTGGAGATACATGTGGGGACGATCAGCACTCAGTGATGGACGGTGTGGGAAGATCGGAGTAGAAGTTATTTCCTCAGTAAGTGATGTGGCCAGAGGGGGAGGTGTCCAGTCTAGACTTCAGGTGGGACAATGACAGGTTTGCCTTCCTTGGAGAAAAGAAGACATCTGCACTGGACCAGGTGGTTGTAGGACCTTGTTTCAGTTTTACTTGCCAAAGCTACTTTTGACCTTTGACCCTCAACTATATTCTAACTATTTGAAATCAAGAAAGATAATTACCATTCAACTCAGCATCCTCTATGTAGTACCCAGCAACCAACTGGATAGGAGAGGGCTTCAGTTTGCATCTGCAGGTGGGCGGATGGCGGAGGGGGCGAGAGGACTCTCCAGAGGCAGTGGCTTACTCTGTGTCCTGTGGCAGCCTCAGGGCACGCAGCCACTGATGGGGCGATGGCAGTGCCCATTGTTCTGGACAGGGGTTTATGTGGGACACCTCTGTGCCCCTTCCCTCCCCCTCCTGCTTGTCCTCTTCTTCTCACTCCTGGAAGAGCTTGCAGAAGGCCTCAAAGGCCCACAGTCCACGTCTCCTGGGACACACCTGAGTGACAGCATCTGCTTCTTCCTAACTGGGAAAGCCAGCTTCCCGCTTGCAGGACCCTGATCCCTGCTGGGCCCTTCTGCCCTGCTTCTCCCTCGTCTGTCCCAACCAGTTTACACATTCTCTGGGTCTATTACTTGCACCACCTCTTTCAGCACTGAATTGTTTACTACTTTGGAGATTATGGGTTGTGTGGGACAGAAATCTCCTGGATACAGCTCATGCCAATACAGGATGTTTGTTAAAAGGTTGCAGAGGCGGAGGGAGCAGGTGCCTGCAGCCAGGCTGTGGAATCCTGCAGCTAGAAACTGTTCCAGATGAGGTGAGATGGTTTGGGGGAGAGGACTGAGCCAGGGCTACCCCTCGGCCTGCGGACTGAAGGGTCCCAGGTTCGATTCCGGTCAAGGGCATGTACCTGGGTTGCGGGCACCTCCCCGGTAGAAATGGGATGTCAATCAGTCTCAATATGGGCAGGGTTTAAATTTGTGCCCCCTACACCCCCAGCCTGGCAGGAGGACCAACAGACCCACAGAAGCAGTCAGTGGCAAAATGAATTATGTTTAAAAAAATAAAAATAAATGTGAAAAGTCTATGATGAACAAGTGATCAAACATTTAAATCAAGATAGGTTGTTGTTTGTTTTATGACCCCACACTGTTGTGCAATGGTTCCCAGGTAGGTTGGTGGTCCCCTGCCATGTGGCTTTATGAGGGTTGACAATGAACTGTTACCAGATTTAAGCAATTTAGAGCTTTAATATAGTCATGTTTTATGATTGTAGAACTTCTGTTAACCTTTCTCATTTGATCCAAAATATGGGAGGATATTTTGATGGGTATATGTAGGGCTCATCTTTTTCTTTTTGCCTCAGGCTCTTGGTAGGACTCCTCATGGCACTGGTCTTCAAGCTGGATTCCTTAGGTAACGCATTATGTACATTGAAGAGGGAATAAAGCTGTGGGTGCTCCCTGCCGGTGCCCCTACTTCAGTCAAACATTTTGCCATTTTGCCACGAATAAAGGTAGTGAGCAGTCTGAGGAATTTCAGAAACCAAATGACGGCAGGCTGGTGCTCTTTACCGTAAATGAATTGTTTATCTTGTTATTTTATTCTCAAATCCTTTAATACATCTCCCAAGAAGAAGTCTGCTTTGGAAAAATCAAAGAAATTACAAGAGAACAAGAAAAACCAGAAAAACTAAAAGGTGCTCTGTCTACAACTTTTACTAACAGAACACCAGTTCCTCTCAACGTTCTCTCTTAACAGGCTCTGATCCAAGGTGAGGGGCGGGGGGGATGCAGAGGGTCCTGAGCCCCAGCGGGGGGTGGGCAGGCCATACCAGCCTCCATGCCAGGAACCTTCGCGGACATGTGGTTTCACATCATTCTCAAGGAAGGAGGGCTGACCTGCTTGACCCTAAATGGCCTTCTCAACCCTCCTTTAAGTCTCTCCAGGTTTCTGCTTCTTCTGAGCCCAGCCCCTCTGCTGACTGCTTTCTCAGATGGTGGCCCAATCCGGAGAAGCAGGCCTCCTCTCTATTTCCCAGAGCCAGCACGGCTGACTGGATGGGCTCAGCGGCCCCTGGGAGGGGTGCGTTTCCAAAAGCCTCTGAGAGTGGCCCCCAATATCCCCTCACAGGCCTTGCTGTGCACAGAGGGATCCATCGCAGGGATGTGGCATGGCTCCTGGGGCTGTGGCAAACGAGGGGGTCGGGGCGGAGGGGCAGGAACCTGAGCCACCGCATGCTGTCCTGCCCTCAGGTCCCCCAGCAGCCCTGTGTGGCTCCTTCCTCTAGCAGCCACCTTCTTCCAACCCTCCTCCCCTCGTTGTACAGAAATCCCGGGCCCCCGGCACCCATAAGGAAAGGCCCGCCCACGGTGAATCGACCCCTTTGGCAAGATCCGTCTGGTTGAGTCGGGTCCTGTATCTTTAGGCCGGAAAAATAAAGAAAACAGGGTTGAGCTCCATGATCGAGCGCCAGGCTTACGGGTATAATACACCCCCTCGGCGTGTCTCACGTGCCCGCAGAGGCCCTGATCGCAACCGCGACAGAAAAGGGGGACTTCAAGTGGGGGGCCATATTACAAAAGAAGGGGGACCAGGGTTCCCATCGACGTAGCTGAAAAGAGCGGATCTTACTTCAATTGGATGTGTGTTTCTCATAAGGTTACATGCGAAAGAAAAAACAGCACGGCACCCTTTATTTAGGGTCTTCGGGTGGGGAGTTGAAAAAAACGGGGGGCAGAACCGTTTGTTTTCTGTTGTCGTAATCTTCTCAAAAAATGCTCGGGTAGAGATAAAAACAATTATTCT